TCAGCAGCGTCTCCAGAATCACAGTGCTGGCCTTTGCCCCAGCCCTTGCCGTCTGGGGCGCCATGAGAGGACGAGAGAACTGCACGCTTGTGTGGGGGCTGTCCATCAGGAGCCACCACATCATGATGGAGAAGAGGGCCAGCAACGTTGTGGTGTGGCGACCTCCTGCGACTGGGGGAAGGTGGGCATCGCCTCGAGTGCCTCGAGCGTCACGGCCGCTGCCGCTTCCCGGGGTCAGCATTTGCCATCGCACCGTTGCCGAAAACATAAGTGTCGAGCGACAGGAAAGGCAGGCACAGTAGCAGAGACTGGGTATGTGGCAGCAGAGCTGCAGTGCGAGAAAGCGGAGGCCCCTGTCCTGGGGCTTCTCTGGGGCCTCTCGGGGAGTGGTCACCCTGGTCCTCCTCCGCCTCCTCCTCCTCCTCCTTCCTCCTCCTCCTCCAACTCCTCCTCCTCATCATCATCCATGTCTGCGCTTCCACACGGGAGGAGAAGGGACACAAGGCCTTCGGCCTCCTCCTCCTCCTCCTCCGCCTCCTCCTCCAACTCCACCTCCACCTCCTCCGCGGCCGCAGCCCCACCAAGGGCAGGGCCTCCGCTCCTGACATCGTCGAATGCTCCCTTCTGGAGAATGGCCACCGTTGGTCCAAAACCGTCCTGCAAGGCGCTCTCGCCTTGACGCCGGCTACGTGCTCCGAGGAAGCGAAGCTGCCGCTCGAGCGCGGGCTTGGGTCCCAGTCAGGCCCCCTCAAGGCCCAAAATCGACGACGCGAACGGCTCCCGCCCGATGATTCCCCACAGCGTACGCCGAGACACCCTGGCCACCGAGGCCCCAAAACTCGGGAAGGGCGCCCTCGCCCGAGACTTCCTCGCAGCTCAGTCAGGTTGGCAGAGGCCACTTACGACGTATCCGGAGTGCAATATCCCCAAACAGGGTTTTCAAACCCACTGCGGTTTCCAAGGTCGATTGCTTGCCCATCCAGTGCGGGCTGGCAGAACGGGCCAGACCATCACGCGCGCAACATCTTCGAGCTCCGCATTGTGAGGATGGCTCAAGCGAACCGGGCAGGACCTCGCGAGCGACATCTTGGAGCCCACAATATTGGAAGGATGTCTCAAACGAAACGGGCCGGACAACCTCTCGCACGTTCTGACAAGTCCACGTCACACTAGCATCCTGTTAGGTCCTCTCCTGCAACTCCCTTCCTTCTCCCTCCTCCTCCTCCTCCTCCTCCTCCTCCTCCTCCTCCTCCCCCTCCTCCTGCCTGCCCCCTCATCCACATCATCCTCCTCCTCCTTCTCCCTTCCATCTCCTCCTTTTCCTCCTCCTCCACCTCCTCTTCATTCCGAACGGCATCTCGGAGCCCAGAGTTGCGAGGATGTCTCCAGCGTAACGGGCTGGACCACCTCGCGCGCGGCATCTCGGACCCCAGAGTTGCTACGATGTCTCGGGCGAAACGTGCTGCGAGGAAATCTCAGGCGAAACGGGCCGGACCACCCCGAGCGCGGCGTCTCAGAGCTCCGAGTTACGGGGGCCTCCTGGGGCCTCCTGGGGACCTGGGGCTTTCTCCTGGGCCTCCTGTGGCCTCCTGGACCCCACCTGGGGCTTCCTGAAGCCTATTGGGGCTCCCAGGGGGGGATATCTAATATGTGGCCGTCTGGCCCCCCAAAATGGGGGGGGGGGCCACAAGAGCAAGAAAATCAACGAATCGGCACCAGATGTGTATTCACTTGACACGTTCTGATACGGGGCCTCCTGGGGCCTCCTGGGACCCTCCTGGGAATCTCCTGGGGACCCCTGGGGCGTGTCCTGGGCGTCCTGCGGCCTCCTGAAGCTCTCTGGGGCCTCCTGGGGCTCCCAGGGTCCCAGGGGGTATATGTAACATGTGGTCTTCTGGGCCCCCAGGCTGAACCACCTCTTGCGCGGCATCTGGGAGCTCAGAGTTGCGAGAATGTCTTGTGCGAAAACAGGCCAGACCACCTTGCGCACGGCATCTCAGAGCTCAGAACAGAATTGCGAGGATGTCTCAGGCGAGACGGGCCAGACCACCTCGCGCAAGGCATCTCAGAGCTCAGAGTTGCGAGGATGCCTCAGGCGAAACGGGCTGGACCACGTCGCGCGCGGCATCTCGGGGCTCAGAGTTTGGAGGATGTCTCAGGCGAAATGAGCTGGACCACCTCTTGCGCGGCAGCTCAGAGCTCAGAGTTTCGAGGATGTCTCAGGCGAAACGGGCCCTTCCACCTCTCGCGCGGCATCTCGGAAAGTACGAGGATGTCTCAAGTGAAACGGGCCGGACCACCTCCTGGGCGGCATCTCGGGGCTCAGAGTTTGGAGGATGTCTTAAGCGAAACGGGCCGGTCCACCTCTCGCGCGGCATCAGAGACCGCAGAATTGCGAGGATGTCTCAGCCAAAACGGGCCGGACCACCTCGCGCTCGGCATCTCGGGGCTCAGAGTCTGGAGGATGTCTCAGGCGAAACGAGCAAGACCACCTCTTACGCGGCATCTCGGAGCCCAGAGTTTCGAGGATGCAGCCGAAATGGGCTGGACCACCTCTTGCGCGGCATCTCAGAACTCAGAGTTGCGAGGATGTCTCAGGCGAAACGCGCCGGACCCCCTCTCGCACGGCATCTCAGAGCTCAGAGTTTGGATGATGTCTCAGGCGATACGCGCCGGACCACCTCTCGCGCGGCATCGGGGAGCTCGGATGTTGGAGGATGTCTCAGGCGAAACGGGCCGAACCACCTCTCGCGCGGCATCTGGGAGCTCAGAGGTTCGAGGATGTCTCAGGCGAGACGGGCCGGACCACCTCTTACGCGGCATCTGGGAGCTCAGAGTTTGGAAGATGTCTCACGCGAAACGCCCAATCCTGGACAACTCAAAAACGAGAATTGCGAGGATGCCTCAGGCGAAACGGCCCGGATGTCTCAGGCGAAACGGGCCGAACCACCTCTCGCGCGGCATCTGGGAGCTCAGAGGTTCGAGGATGTCTCAGGCGAGACGGGCCGGACCACCTCTTACGCGGCATCTGGGAGCTCAGAGTTTGGAAGATGTCTCACGCGAAACGCCCAATCCTGGACAACTCAAAAACGAGAATTGCGAGGATGCCTCAGGCGAAACGGCCCGGACCACCAATTTTTTTTTAGGACGTCTCTGCTTTGAATTCCGTCGGCCAGAGTTAGCTTCTATCACAACAGCACCCCGTTCAGCAAGCTGTTTGGGGAAAAAAGGAAGCCAGTTCACAAACTCCGAAGGCGGGTACCAGGAAGGAGGAGAAACAACTGGAGGTCAAAGCAGGGACAATAACATGTTCGAGATGGGGTCGTCGTCGTTGCCGCGGCCGTCGTCGTGGTTGTCGCCATCATTGCCGTTGTCGACGTCTTCGCTGCCGGCATCTCGACGCCGCCACCCCCCGCCGCCGCCTTCGTCGCCGTCATCGTCGCCAGCGTCGTCGTCGTCAACATTGTCGTCGTCGTCAACGTCGTCTTCTTCCTCCTCTCATCCTCGTACTCATATCTTCTTACTCATGCTCCTCCTCCTCCTCCTCCTCCTCCTCCTCCTCCTCCTCCTCCTCCTCCTCCTCCTCCTCTTCCTCCTCTGCCCACACCTCGTCGCCATCGTCCTCCTCCTCCTCCACCTCCTCTCCGTCATCCTCCTCCTCCTCTTCCTCTTCGTGCGTCCAATGAGCGGCATACTCGCCATCCTCGGGTTGCTGCATAACCTCCTCCTCCTCCCCTCCTCCACCATCCCCCCTCCTCCTCCCCCCCCTCCTCCTCTCTCCTCCTCCTACTCTCTCCTCCTCCTCCTCCTCCTCACTCCTCCTCCACCTTCCTCCTCCTCCTTCTCCTCCTCCTCCTCCCTCCACCACCTCCTCCTCCTCCTCCTCCTCCTCCTCCTCCTTCTCATGTTCGTCCTCATCCAGGTCATTAGTTTCGTCCCCTTCATCTTCCCCTTCCTCCTTCTCCTCACATCTCCCTCCAGCGATGGATCCTCCCCTCTCCCGCATAATTACGTGGCTTGCGTACGTCTGCCCCCCACTCGCTCGGGCGAGGTTAAAGCGTGCAGCCAATGATGCCAACAAGAGTGACCTCGGCATGTGCCTTCCAACCTCTCTCCCTGTCTCCTAGTTTTCCTGCGCGCGGCTGCTCCCCACTCGCTCGGGCGAGGTGAAGGCAGGCATCCGACGACACAAGCCCGAACCGAGAAGAACGACCATGGCACCCGCCTTCCAACCTTCCTCTCTCCCTGTTTCGGCGGCGCGCCCAGGCGGAATGCAGAGGGTTGAGCAGGGACCGAAAGTCCTGGCATTTCTATAGGCCTACCACGAAATGATCTTAGAACCCAAATGTTCTAAGAATAAAACAATGTTCTTAGAACATAAACCCGATGTGTTAAAACAAGACAGCCCCAGCCAGAAATGTTCTAAGAACATTTCGTGGAAACCACGGAAGGTTCTTAGAACATTGTTTGGTAGGCCTATAGGCACGCCAGGACGCTTCGCCACTGCTTGAGAGGGGGCGGGCCTTCTCAAAAGAGGCTCGGAAGGCCTCCGGCCTTCTGAGAAGATCTTTAAGCCTTCTCCGCAGCCCCGCCGCCTCCCCCCATGGCGCGCCGACGACTGCTTGCCTGGGCGCGTCCTGCTCGCCACCTGCTCGGGCGAGGCGGGCAGCTGACACCGACGCCGGCCCGAACCAAGAAGAGCGGGCTCGGCGTGTGAGTTCCAACCTCTGGAGGCCTGGAAATGGGCACCAACACCAACACAGGGGCTTGCCTCCACAGGAGGAAGATGATCCAAATTTCGGTGTCGGTGGTAATATTCTGGCTTCCAAGGTGTTGGTGTTGGTGTCAATCTCTGGGCCTGCGAAACATCTCTCCCTGTTTCCCTGCGTCCAGCTAATCCCCACTCGCCCGGGCGAGGAGGCAGGCACACCACGACGCCGGCACGAGCCGAGGAAAGCGACCAGTCGGGCCGCGCCCCGCGACCCCCGCGGCCCGCCCACCAGGGCGTGTGGCCCCGAGCAGGCGCCACCAGGCCGCGTGGCGCAGAAGATCCTCGGCGGGGTGGGGAGGGGAGCCAGACCCCCTCGGGTCATGAAGAAGTCACGGCGGAAGGTATTTCTCTATTTTCGGCCTCTCGGGGCCCTTATCGGGCCTCGGAACCGTCAAAGAACTGCTCAGGATGAAAAACTGGTCCTGGGGAATGGGTCGAGACCTCTGGGGGTCGACGTAATGAAAAAAACATGACGCCTGGGGTCTGGGACTACAATTCTGTCGAATCGGCTCTGGAGCCTGAAAGTAGCCCACAGAAGGCTGGTCGGCGCATGAGTGCCGCCGTCTTGGAGCTCTCGTCGAACTCTAGCTGATCGAATGGACCTCGACGAAGCAAACAGCAGAATGGTAAGGGAAGAGTCTGCTTACGGGAGGGCTCCCCCTCCTGGCAGGTCGTCATAAGAACCAGCACGATGACGAGGCCACTGAGCCGGACCAGGCCGCATCAAGCCCAGGATTAAGCCGGATTCAGCCAGATTGAACGGGACTCGGGGGCGTCCGAGAAGGGTGGGCGTCCCAGAGGGGGGGTCGCAACCATGGCCCAAGGCACGTGCGCGGCCTGGGGGGGGGCTAGGGAACGTGTTGAAATAAAAGAAAGGGCCATGAGATCCGAGGAGACATCATGACCCCGGCCGTGATATCCACCCACCCCCCTGGACATCACCCCCCGTCGTGGTCGGCCCCGAGGGTGGAAGAGGGATCTGGGGAAACCACAAAGTACCGATACCGCTACTCCCTGGACCTCTCACGGGGTTCGTTCTGACCAGAATTTCGAAGCGAATCCAGCGGTGGCGACGAGGGCCTTCCAGCAGGCCCGAAAAGACGAAAACGAGGGAACGGTAGCAGAATGGGCACCTCTTCCTCCTCTGAGGAGAATGACGGATGAGGCCAAGTTTCGACCGCGGATAACACCCAGCGCCGATGCCAGACGCAACCTCCCAGGACTTGCAGCGCCACCCCCCGAAGGGGGGGCAAGCGGCGCGCAGGAGGGGGGGTGGAGCGAGGAGCGAAACGGAGTTACCCTCCTCCTCCGGCGCCAGACTGGATGGGTATGGCGGCCTTTCGGCCTTCAAAGGCTTTGAACAGGAACCGCTCTCGCTGCTCCACTCCTCTTCTCCACTCCTTCTCCTCTCATCTCATCCTCCTCTCATCCTCCCTCCTGCTCCGTCTTCCTTCTCCTCCTCCTCTTCCTCCTTCTACTCCTCCTATCCAAAGATTTTCAACTAGATTTGAATAGGACTCAAATAGGAATCTGATATGAATGGGGCAGATCCCAGATCTAAAGAATTCCCATTGGATTTGAAGAGAACCTTTGGGAGTGCCAACAGAAACGGAGCAGATCCGAGATCAAGATAATTCAAATCCATTTGAATAGGATGCACATTGAAATTCAAAGAATTGAAGTATATTCCAAATCCAATGGGTTCTACGTGAATTTGCATAGGGTTCAATGAGGAATTCAGTAGGACATGACCAGACCCCAGATCCAGAGAATTTCAATTAGATTTGCATTGTATTCAAATAGTTCAATATGAATGGGGCAGGCCCCAGATCCAGATAATTCCCACTGGATTTGAAGAGAACCCAACTGGAAAGTCAACAGAAATGGAGCAGATAGGAGACCCAGAGGATTTCCATCCATTTGAATAGGATTCAAATAGGAATTCAAAGAATTGAGAATTTGAATAGGATTCAAATAGGAATTCAATAGGCCAGGACCAGACACAAAATTCAGAGAGGGGGAGGAGGAAGGAGCTGTCCGTTGCGTGTTGTATGCTGTCGTGTGTTTGTTTGTTTGTTTGGACCTTTTCGAATGTTTGTTTGGACCTCTCAGGCGGGAGCCTCGTTTTGAGTGCTTGTTGGGGGACCTTTCAGGCGGGAGCCAGAGGATTCATATTGAATTTGGATGGGATCCGAAGGAAACCTCACTAGAAACGGAGCATATCCCATATCCAAAGGATTCCTATTGAGTTTGAATAGGACCCTAATCGGATTTCAATAGGAACGGAGCATATCCTAAATCCAGAGGGTGTTCATTGGATTTGAATCGGATGCTAATTGGATTTCAACAGGAACGGGGCAGGTCCCAGATCCAAAGAATTCCAATTGAATGTGATCAAGTTTGTGATCATATTACGATAGGAAAAGAGCAGATCCTC